AAGCCACTTGTGTCATGAGCAGAGATGTTCTCAGCTGCCACATCCAGCAGGATCTCCTGTCTCATCCCAAGAAGGATACATCCTGCATCATCCCCAGGGTGAACACCAACACAAGCTCTTCCTTGGGTGACAACTGCAGCTTGAGCACCCACCTGGGCACCCCGGGGTGCTGCGGGGAGCAGCGGCGCAGGGCAGGCACAGGCCCTGGGGCTCCCTCTCCCCTTCAGGGCTGTAAAACCTGCAGGGTGGGAGGGGATGGTCAGGATTTGGCGCATGAGTGAGATCAGGGCTGGGGGTTCAGTGTCCCCAACTGGGCTCACCCCAGCTTGCAGGCTCCACAGTGGCTGTCGCTCATCGCCGTCCCTGGTGCCACCAGGATCCTGTTCCTGGCCTGGCAGTGGGTGTGAGTGGTGCAGGATGTGTCCCCCAGAGAGAAGGTGCCGGGGGGACAAGCTCGGCACGTCCCCACTGGACCCTGTGGTGAGGGAAAGGGTGGTGAGGGATGGTCCTGCACTTTCCCTTGGGGTAGATGTGCCACAGGAGGGTATGGCTTACCCCAGTGGGCTCCTCTCCGGGTGGGCATCCCAGTGTTCTGTGCTCCTGGGGACTGCAGGTCCCAGCCCCCATGCTGGGTCTGCTCAGCACCTATGGGAGAATCAAAGAGCTCAGTGCCAGCTGCTCCAGCTCTCCTGATGCTCCAAGGACTGTGCCCAAGGTGATGTGGGTCCAGTGTGGATGACAGGGCAGAAGTGAGGCCATCACAAGCTATGTGAGGGACACAAAACTGTCACATAGATCATGGCAGATGAATGAATGTGTGACATGTGTTACAATGTCACTTCTCCAGTGATACGAGGCATGCAAACCCATGACATGCACCATGGTGGATGCAAACGAACCACAGCATGTATGCAAATCCATCACCAGCAGTATGGTGGATGCCAACCAATGGTGCATACCATCCTGGCACAGGGGATGCCATGGGTGTCACTCTCTTGCATGCACCACAGCCAACGTCAACCCTTCACTAGTGACGTGATGGATACAAACTCATTGGATACACCATGAAGGATGCAAACCTATTGTGGGCACTGTGGTAGATGCAAACCCATAACATGAGATGAAAACTCATCACATGTACTGTGGCAGATGCCAGCCTATCACAAGCGATGCAACAGGTGCAATCCCATTGCATCCACCATGGTGGATGCCAACCCATCACAGAAAGGCTGATTAGACACCAGAATGTGCTGCCCAGGGAGGTGGTGGAGTCACCACCCCTGGAGGTGTTTAAGGAAAAACTGAACATGGCACCTAGTGCCACAGTCTAGTTGACATGGTGGTGTTAGGTCATAGGTTGGCCTTGATGATCTCTGAGGTCTTTTCCAATCTGAATGATTCTGTGATTCTGTGCTCACATGACGGATGCAAATTCATCACGTATGCCATAATAGATACAAACCCATCACCAATGACATGATGGGTGCAAACCTGTCAAGTGCACAGTGGCCCATGCAATCCCGTCATATGCACTGTGGTGGATCCCGTCCTGTCACAAGGGATGTGACAGATGCCAACCCCACTGCACACACTGCAGCCAATGCAAACCCATCCCCAGTGACACGGTGACAGCTAACTCACTATGGGGACACTCACTCAGGCCAAGCCACCCACTGCAGCCCCTCAGGTACTGTGGCATGGCCCAAGAGCATCCCCCAACACTGCAGCCCCATGAAGGAGATGCCACATTCCCTAACAGCCCCTGCC